ATGTAAAAATTTCAAATAAATATTCAATAAAGATAGAGGCATGGCCTCACCATTAATATTAAAAAAAAAAAAAAACTAATATTTTAATATATGATAATTCTATTATTAATAAGCTTAACAAACACATTATTAACTTTAAAATTATTTAACTTTTTAAATATTTTAAAATAATATTCAATTTAGCCTACTATACAATATCTTATATACTATTTAAGAAGAGTCTATTTTACTTAAATTCTTGTTTTTATCATATTTTAAATATATAATATTCAAAAAATAACTTATATTCTTTACTTATATCAACTTATTATATTTAATAACTTATATTTTCTAAACTGAAAATACATATTTTTATATATAAACAAAATCCTTAAAGGAAAACAACTACTACTTAAAAGACTAAACTACAAACTACTTATACAATCATATTTTTTATTAACATTTATACTTATTTAATACAAACTATTATAGTTATTTAACTAGACTTGTTTTTTATACAAAAAACTATTATTTATTATAGTACTTGATAATCAAATCATTATTAGCAAAGTTAATAAACAATTATCTTCTTTGGAAATTATTCTTATTACTCATTGACAATATTATATAGAATCTTAATTTACTTATCTTTATTCTCTTTTACTTATTTAATCACAAACATGTTTAAGTTGTTTTTTTAATTCTTATACAATTACTAATAAATATATAATCAATATTCTTATTAATTACTCTACAAAATTTTTTAATTAAGTTAATATACATAACAAATTCTCAACTTTAATTTTAATTATCTTGACCTTATATACTTTATTGCAATTTAACATCCTACTCAAATTCTTAATTTTCCTAATATTAACATTATAATATACTAAATTTTAACTATTTTTAAGCCTAATATTTTAACAGCCTAATATTTTAACAGCCTAATAAAAAACAAATATGCTAAATTTATATTATATTTATATTAAATATACAATTTTTATATTAATTTTATACTAATTTTGTACTATTTTAAAATTTTTAAAATTTAAAATTTAATTAAATATATTGTTTTTGTACTAAAATTATATAAATAATATACTAATATTTAAATTTTATAGTAAATTTGTAATTGTTTATTTATTGATTTTATAGTAAATTTATATTTATTTTATAATTTTAGATTTATATTACTGTATATAAGAAATATAAACTTTTATTATTATCTTTTCTAATTAATATCTAATATGTTTATAATCAATATATTTAAATTAAATATGATTTTACTAATAACCTACTTACTACTTTTATATTCATATTTAATATATATAAAGTAGCCAGAATAATACAAATACTAGATATATTTACTCTTTATTGCTTATATATAAATTACTATTATTTAAACTATCTATATTTTGTCAATTATATAAGTAATATTTTTAATTGAAAAAAATCCAATGCAATGATCAATAACACTAATATTAATAAATTCTGTATTGTCTATAGTTTTAAAAAATTGAAGATCTAAATTATTTTCAAATATTTTTTTGATCCATTGAACATATGCAAGCATATATTGTTTTCCTTCAAATTCATGAACTAAATAATATTCAATATATCTAAAAAATTCTTGAATTTGAAAGATTGGAGGCTGTTTTGAATATGCTACATTAATATCAATTTCTATTTAAGTCTATAAAAGTAAATATGTATAATTAGTTAAGCTTGTTTTGTATAATAAAAATCTAAGAAATAAATATAGTATTGATTATATATTAGCAATATTGATTGGAGATTGAAACAAGAACCTAAAGTTATCAACCTAAAATAGTTTATAATTATATTAAAGTTAGATTTTAGATTGGACTAAAAACAACTTTATTACTATAAATTATCATATACAAGACCTTAGTTAATCTAGCATGTAGTAGAACCAGATATAAATAATAATGATAAGATCTATATTCATCAAATCCAGTTTTTTCTAGATATTTAGACTGCCTATTAAAAATGCAAAATATGCATACTCTTTAAAGTTTTTCTTTTAATAATATGAACTCTTGATTATATACTAGACTCAAGATCTATTCTATTAGTAAAATATAGAGATCTGGGGTTTGTTTATGATAATTTATGGTAGTGTCAAAAAAATTTATAAAAAGCAACTTACTCTTATATGCAAAGACAGTTTTATAAGTAAAATACTTACTGTTACAAAATACCAAAATTTGTAAAACTCTCTTTAAACTAGAAGTAATTATCTAACACCAAATGTCAATATTATTTAAACCTGATATGGGAGTTTATTTGGTTCTTGATTTTCAAATATATTACTTGATTGCTGATACAATCCTGATATAATAGTTGCTTTCTGCCAAACTTGAACTAGTAATCTTAAATGACCATGATACTAAAGCCCATAGGGCTATGTCTATATCTAATCTTGAAATTTGGTCAACAAAATTTTTTTTAAAGCAGCAATGCTAAACAATTGTTTCTATCACTAACATTATCTATTGTATTACTATAATATAATCAAAGTTTTTAAAAGCCAATTCCTTAAAATAGATAATTCTAACAAAGTTAACTTATTATATCTTTTTAAGTAATAGCTTTTATGTGACAACTATTATTACTACTGATACTAGAATTTACTACTATAGTATAATTTGTTCTAATGATATCCTTTTTTTTTCTTGACCATGACCCAACAAGGATATCATCCTTGGTTCTTAATCATGCATATTTTAAACCACTAGTAGAAAATTTCTGAATATAAATTTAAATTGTTATTAATTTAATACATATTATAAAAGAATTAATAAACATAGTAATTACCTTAGTTGTTACCTTCATACAATTGATTGTTTTATAATATTGTTTTAATTTTTTAATTTCAGTTTGATTTAAAATATAATGAATGCATAGAAAATATAATTCTTCTTGATAATTTTCACTTGTAAACACAATATTAATTTCATGCTTCTTTTTAGTAGTTCATCATGAAAAAACTTGATTATAAATATTCAAGAAAAAAATAAGATGATTAAAACATTCTTGTATAGCAATGTTATTAATTAAATTTTGATATGGATGTAATTATGATTGAACTAATAAAAGAAGCATTCTATATAATCTCTCAATAGAAAATTGTCATGTAGCCTAACATGGTCCAGTTGCTTGAATACTGTTAGTAATATGCAATAAATAATGGAAACAAATTTTTATAGTTAATAATTGAGTCTCTTCTCTTTTATAATAATGTCTAACAAAAAGTTAATTTTTTAGTTTAATACAAATTAGAACCAATTAAACTATTA